TATCGTAATCAGCAGCATAACCTCTATGAGCAACTTTTCCGAGATATTCGGGTTATTTCATTTTTTCTCGTTACGCTCTGGAAGCTCGCCGATAGATTTTGGTCAAAATGTTGATCCTCTTGAATTGTAAGGAAACTTCGCTTATAGAGGTTTTCGAACACGCTCTTTACGAAGATCGTGGTTTCTGAGGGTTACAGTGCCTTTTGGAGAGATACGGTGAGGTAAATGTAACTGCATTACGAAAGTGCCTAACTTTGCCCGCACTCCTCGCGTATCTCTCAGAAACCTTGCTTGCTTGCTTTTCTAAGTCAAAGTGACTAGGAACTGAGCTATCTAATGATGCATGAACCGGGCTCCAGTCTATACAATTCGCCGATTTACAAGCCTACGAAAACACGTCCTCATGAAATTTGCACAAAATGTAAAGATCGCGTACTTTGTTGAAATTCCATCGTGAGTGGTTGCATGACTATTTGCAAATGTTATGTTCACCCCGCCCGCGTTTTATACAACCACTCACGGTGGAATTTCAACAAAGTACGCGATCTTTACATTTTGTGCAAATTCATGAGGACGTGTTTTCGTAGGCTTGTAACTCGGCGAATTTTATAGACTGGAGCCCGATTCATGCATCATTAGATAGCTCAGTTCCTAGTCACTTTGACTTAGAAAAGCAAGCAAGCAAGGTTTCTGAGAGATACGCGAGGAGTGCGGACAAAGTTACGCACTTTCGTGGTGCAGTTACATTTACCTCACCGTATCTCTCCAAAAAGGCACTGTAATCCTCAGAGACCACGATCTTCGTAAACTTCGAAAACCTCTATAAGCGAAGTTTCCTTACAATTCAAGAGCATCAACATTTTGACCAAAATCTATGGGCGAGCTTTCTCTGGAGCGTAATGAGAAAAAATGGAATAACCCGAACATACAGGAAAACTTGCTCACAGAGGTTATCCGACCTGCTGATTTCGAAACTCACATCTGCTTAGCAAAATAGCTTCGTATCCTGCGGCTATGGCGAGTAGAATTTGGGACGACAAGATTTTTCCTCAATTTACCAGCCCATCTATTTCCTTTGAAAAGAAATTTGCGGCTACTGTTTAGCGCATCATAATCTACAGAAAAAGTACTATCAAAAGGTCCCTGCTGGAATCTACTCGGGACAATGCTCGCTGCTTTACACCTTCGAGAAGAAACGTCCGCAGAAAGATTCAAGAATACTGAAAGCGAGATATCGCGGACATGCTGCATAAAGATTTGCTCTGATGAGCTGAGCACAGCACTGTTTTCGGATTCAGAATGTACTTATTCTGGAGGAAGTTATGGCGAGTAGAATTTAAAGGCGCGTGATTTTTGCAAAATTCACCATCTCTTTTCGCGCTTTATAAAGCATGTATTCAATTTTTCACTGCTGGATTATCTACGTAAACAACTCTTTCCGATTCGCCTTATCAGAATCTTTCAAGTGTGAAAGGGGCTGGCCCATAGCGTTGCAAAGAGGCATCGGCAGAAAAAAGTGAAGTTTTGCTGGAAGCAGAATATCATAGTCATGCGGTGTATCACTTTGCTCACATAAGCAACAAGACATGCTGATTACAAAGCTTACAATTGTTTTGCTTATCATAATGTTACTGTATAGTTATGTTTGTTTTACGGTAAGTGGTTCATAATTACTAAGTTCACGTACTCCTCTCTCTTTTTTCCTCTATAAAAATGGATATGTTTTTCTGCTGAAAACACTCAGCAGAAACTCTTACATCAAACGCTCTTTTTCTTGAACCTTTGCCTACATTATGCGCCGAAATACACACTCTAGAAAACACCACCACAGGATGCAACGGATTCCTACCATGCACTTACCGTGACTGAGCCGATTACAGCAGTTCAGTATATGAAAAGATTCGTCTCGGCGAGCTAAATCCAAATCTGCCTTCAAATTTGAAATCCATTGAGAACGAAGGGAGTTACGACGAAAAGACGCAAAGTCGGCGACATCGGCGACATCGGCGAATTTGGCAAGTACGGCGATTTCGCCGAATTCGCCGAAATTTTTCACATTCCACTGTCACAACTGTATGAGCGCTTTTCTGCTCTGCATATGCACAAAATGTGTGTTCCTGTGCTCGTCCATTTTCCCTCCCTTTTAATTTTACTCAAATCTACTTTATTTGCTGCAGAAAGCCGCTGCGTAGTTTCCACAGCCATCTGCCACAAATTAAGGCGTGCGACCAATTCTGAAATTGCATGAATTGGGAGGGTAGGGGAACGAAAGCCGCCAGCTTCGGTCGCCTGCGCGGACTGCTGGTCCTGGAACGACATGCAACATCGTTGCGAAAGGACCAGTTAGCCGCGAAAGGCGGCTCGAACTGGCGGCTTTCGTTCCCCTACCCAAATTGGGACATTTCGCTTGTTTTCTGATGAGTTTCGTTTTTGGGCATTCTCAACACCTTTCCTTTTTCCATATCGTTGCTTCTTCGTTTTACAGATGTGAAACGCAGCGCCTACCTGGAACACTTGAAGTAGTTCTGAACGAAAATAGTGTGGACAAGCGCACGAAGGCTCATCTTTCAGGAAACACGGAGCAGAACAGCGTTTAACGTTGCCTCAACTTCGCTTCACGCAGCTCAAGGAGAAGCGGGGTAGAAGTAAGAACAGAGAAGGAACGATATGGAAAAAGGAAGGAGGCTGAGAATGCCTAAAAAGAAGCTCATCAGAAAAGAAGCCCCAAACCACGCACTTTTAGAATTCGCTACGTCCTAATTTTGACAGATGGCTGTAAAAACTACGTAGCGGCTTCCTGCAACAAATGGAGTAGGTCTGAGTTAAATAAGGTACACCTACTAGTATAGAATACTGCAGGAGGCCTTAATCCCTGTATTTCCTCTGCGATTTGATAAACATGTACACTGTCATGTAACAGTGAACAATGGAATTGTGCGCTTTTGAAGCGTCGAACATTGAAAAGAATACTACCAAATTTTCCTCCTCCTTGAATACTACCAAAACTGAATTCTGCAGTCTATAGTCACGCATATTTGTGCAATGCAGAGTTTCTATACTCTTTAATTCGTCACATATCTGTTTGACTTTTCAGGTCAGAGACGCATTGGTTTGCAACTTATCAACTTTTGATTTTATGTTGATTCCAGCACAAAACAACACATTGTTAATAGGATGTAACACCTGAGACATCTCCGTATTGTTATAGTGCAATATCCCAAAACCATATCAGCAATTATTTCGCATTTGAAATCCGTTTCAGAAACTATACTCGAACCTGTATCATGCATTAAACAATCGTTCGCCGCCGATGTATCTAGAATCTCAGTGCTCAGAAAGCTCGATCATTCTTCCGGAGAGTACAAGGCTATGAATGACAATGATTTTGTCATCATACGCTCATGCAAAGCTTGTTTCATGTATTGTCCCTCTTTTATTCCTAAATTTTAACAGCTCCTCTTGAACATGACTTCAAAAAAGGCTGTTTGGTGGTTTTCTGTCAGGTTAAGGGGCCGGGCATACTTCACGCGATCATTCTCGACGCAATTTGGCCAGCATATCAAGTGTCCTTAACTCGAAGATGGCGTTTTCTCAATCTGCGTAAGTTATATACATTATGCGTGCGGTTTGCTAGTGTTAGATCTGAAGGCTTCTGGCGAATTGCCAAATCGTGTCGCGACTGAAATCGCGTGAAGTATGCCCGGCCCTTAACTCTGAAATATTGAACATAATGAACCTACTTTGAATTTTTACCTATGTATTGAACAACTTCGATGAGAAATCTTTTGCGCCTGAGTTTGCATGTGTCTACTAATGACCAGGGTAAAGCGTGGGGCGTGGGACGTCACACCAGGAGGTCGTATTGGCTGGGGTAGGTAAGGGGGGGGGGTCGTACTGACCTAGGGTCATAAGCGGAAAGCTGGCTGACCAGCTGATTTGAAGAAAGCAACCTCGAAGCTATTAGTCAATCAACTCCAATAACTGTTAGATACTTCGTAGATATTTTTAGACTAATTCGAATAAATGTTTCTTTATGATGCAATGCATCCTGCAAAATCCAAACACATTCAATGACACCGACTTTTCAATACCGTACACCTACCGTATACCTGACAAAGAGGCTCTATCACGCTAAACAAGTATCACGTAATTAGCATGTTGGATAACCCCTATGCGCCAAGTTTCAGTGAACTCTGAGATATCCGAGTAGTAAACGAGCTTGTATGAAGCAGTAATTTCAAACATGATTAACTTCATTTTAAAGATGAATAAGCTACCTCTTCTTGCACTCAATACAAAGCACTACCCCTTCTTCCCTTGCATGTGAGATACCACTTCAAGAAACCTCCAAGCTGTGGAATCAGAAGACTGCCAAGTCCCACCTACAAATTTCAATGGTTGCACTTCCATTAACCATTATTTATGCTAAAGAAGAACAATCCAGCTCAATTTTCTGCTGTGTGTAGTACGAGGTCTCACTTTCCAAACCATATAAAAAAAGTCTGAAAAAAAAATCCTTTTGAAAGTAAGTTAATGGGGTGTGGCACCCTCCCTCTCTCAAAAGCTGTGGCTGCCACAGCTTTTAAGGGGGGTGCCACACCCCATTAACTTATCTTCAAAAGGCTCAAACGAAAGCCTTTTTCATACTATCCTAATGAGCCATCCTTCCCCTCTTCACAGTAGCATCTGCCCCCCCCCCCAAAGCGCGCCCTCTAGGAAAAGATGCAGCGGATTATCTGAGCCCTATGCGCCGAAGCACAGCTCTGAAAAGCTTTGAAAATATTGGGGTACGGTAGGGGTCGAAAAATTGCGACACCAAGGCGCGAACCACGAGGCTTTGAAATCCGCATTCTTCGTCCGCACCATTCTTACATGATTTTGCGGTTGATTTTGATTTCGGTTTTTGATTTTGATGTTCTTCTTGGTTTTGGTTTTGATTTTCATCATGTTCTCGGCTTTTCTATATGATTTTTGGTGGATTCTGTCGAAATTTGGTGCAGATGACCGGGTGCTGAAACAGTGAAGGGTGAATTTCAAAATCTTGGTCGTTTAAACTAACTCATTGCACTGCACTTAGACTCCCTCCTTCCGTGCTCTCTTCCTCCTCTCTGGAAATCAGGTATCTGTTAAGATAGAAACGTTTTGTTTGGTACTTTCTCGATACTAATCAGGCCCACTGCAAATTCTTGGAAATCCTTCGCCGATATCTCCTGTTTCGTTCTAGCAAGATGCAGCTTCGGTGAGTGCTTTTTTACATGTCATACAATCTACATCTTCGATCTGCAGATTTTTTCACCTATGCGAAGCTCCTGGCCACTTCGTTTCTTCGCTGGACCGCTTTCTTTGCACGTTCTATCCTAAGGTGAACTGGGATTGGGAGGCTAATTCGTGAGTTTTTTCTTGTTATTTAACTACCATACCTTTATACCTTTTACCAAATGCTACATACTTCATTAAACGGCGAAATTCTTTCAAACTAAACTTTGAAATCGTAAAATGCAGCATGGGAGGAATCATTTATGTGGGAGGAAGTAAAGCAATTTTTTTTCAAAATGACGCTTTTTTTGGGATTGAGTATCTTTGCACGAGGGCCTATATACCCTTCTCAGTTGAAAGCATTCAGTAGAATTCGAAGAAATTTGAGGTTCATGGAAAAGACTTTTTATTCGAGTTGTGAAGCCAAGCAGTGTTTGTTCAGCTTCAATCCACATCATGAGGGTACCAGTGCATGCGGTATGTTGCTTGAAGATGATCTGATTTTCTTAGGCGTCCAGATCATTAGCACTTTGGCTAGGATGAGAGCGGCGACGTCAGAAAGGTAATCTCACTTACGAAATAACAATATTGATGTGATGTAGTTGTTGTTTTTAGTGGGATTTAGGTTATGTGAGTTCCATAACACGTGAATGTCACTATGATCTTGTTACTGCAGATGGGAGTTTATACACACAAGTACTATTCATTGACGTCTGATAGCTTTGGAGGTACGACGAACTCATAGGATAATCCAGAAGAGCAGGAATCCATGACGTTACCTCTTTTGCAAGCTGAATTAACAGCGCAATAGGACTTCACGCTCACTTTGGCTCGCTGGTTGTAAAAGTTGGATGTTTCCTCTTTTTTCTCATTGTTATTCCATCGGGACTGAGGTTTGCAGATCTACACTATGTATTCACAAGACACTCGGCTACTCATACGAAAGATTGCGTCATTTTTCAATGATGTCTATGTATTCAAACCCATGAGCAGCAAAAGGGGAAATAATGAGATGAGGATGCCTACATATTCTTCTTTAGCATTTCGATAATCTTATGTTGCAGAAGTACCTTGTCTGCTTACGGTTTAATGGCGCTGTGCCATCAAAGAGTGATGGAAGAAACGCCGAAAATGTACGTTTTCTTCTCTGTTGAATGTCTATAAAGCAAACCTAGCAACATATTGTGCAGTTTCGAAGGTTTCATCAGTTATGTGTTCTTTTCTCTGGAGTTTGATGATCGTTATTCCAGGAAGAATTGAATATATATCACGATTGTACTCTTAGCGAGTTCCAAAAACGAATTCTTGCAGAATATATTGCGTATCCTTCAAGGTAGTTTGTTAGCCATGTAATCCGCAGGAGACAGTTTGTAGTTTATCTGTAATTTGCAGGATCAAGAAGATGTTATGAGAGAACAAGAAGAATGACTCATGAACATCATAGAAATTCAAGAGAGCTGGATTTTTTGAGTGGGATGAATGTCGCCTTGTCCAAGAAAAGGTGGGTTTTAGGTTTATTTTAACCAAATCTGCAAGTCAACTAGCATGTATCTTTTTTGACGTGGGTTCTCATCTCTCCAATACTGGTGTAAAGATTTTTCTGTCATGTTCGTTTTACAGGTGGTTGTGGTCAGCTCACCATTGAATGGAATTTCACATTCTTGATTCACTCCCCCCATCCTTCTCCGTGGTCTCCATTACTGGAAGCCTGATGTGCGTTTGAAATTCTCTTGTCTCATGTGTCGCTTAATTGTGCTATTCTAGGCAATCATAAATCTGTGTGCCTCCTTTACTTCCCAGCCTAGGGAGCCAAGTCACTATGCTAGTTCACTAGTCATGCATGGAGATTTACTGTTAAATGCATCCAAGTTGCGGTGCTTCGTGGACTGGTCTTTTATACTGAAAAGTGTTTTTGCTGGAGTTCGTGTGAGTCCATGCCTACTAATAGAATTGATCGGTTTGCGGATCCTCTTTTCCAGAACGAAGAAATAAAGCGAATGGAAATAGCTTGGTCTGAGTCGTCAGTACCATTTATATTATCGCGACTGTCTGCATCAGCGATTTGTCTGCTCTGCGTTATGTTTTTTCAAATTCACATGAGGGATAAATGTAGATCAATCGTCTTTGGAAAGCCGGTAGCTTACTGGTTTGTTCAAGTCGATACGATACTGACTTCATTCAAATCATTTAGAACTTCTCTGAAGGTATTCCCGATAGTTTAGAGTCCTATCTTTTGCCACTGGGTAATCTGAACAGCAGCACAGATTGGTCCTTTACCAACATCACTTATTTTCATTATTTCAGTCATGACTATTATCATGAAGGAGAAATATGCTGTTTTGTTCCACTCTCTGTGCTGGCAATGTTTCATACATCCTTTTTCGATTTCAATCGACAGCAGTGGAGAAAGTTGCTCGACAGTTTGAAGCTAGACAAACGTTGGACTGCTTACTTTGAGTTATTGATATTTATTCCCCAGTAAGAAGATCTCAAAGTCTGTTCATTGTTTTCTAAAGACATGCCTATACATGGATTGCCTTTGTGTTTTTTTTTGCTCACTGGAAATAGTTTATTTTGCTCCCTGGATATATTAGGTCGTTCCGAAAGTTCTTTCCGTTTTTTCAACCTATCATAAAAAACATGGAATGAAGGTAGGAGAACGCTTTAGGCACTATCCGACGCATTTTTTTCTTTCTCTTTTCCACATTCATATTACTGTGTCGCTTGCTCTTGTGGTCAGTGAGATAATGGCCGAAATTTCGAACCCGTGGTTTTTACCATGTCCAATTTTGGCAATTTTTCACAATTTTCTTTTTGACTTTTGGAGAAGCTTTAATAGCAGTTGGATAGAGTAAACAAAGTGCAATTTAATGGAATTTTTTTGGCAATTTCAACTGGCTTCTCAGTATTTTTTGAGGCAACTTTTCCAGAAGTCTTCACTTTTTCGAAGTAACAAAACACACAAATGCTCCGAACAATAGCAAATCTTCGGATTTTGACACTATCAAAAGTCGTTTATGATTGTCCACTATTTTTACAAAGTAATCCAGTGTTTACCGCTTCGAAATATAAGATTTCGCGTTTCGCGTGTACACCCTTAGGCGGGTTCGAAATCAAGAATTATGGAAATTTTATCATTAAAAACTCCCACAAATTAGGAAGAAAGATACTCAATAGAAAGAGGAGGAAAAGCTGCAACGAATGACACCTTAGTTGTGCGCTGTTTTATGTTCTATGGTTCTTGGCATCACCGAAAGTGGAATTTGATAGCATCAGAGAAATAATTCTAAAAAAATTTTAGGGCTAACAATAGACGCCAAAAAATTCCATTAAATTGCACTTTGCTACTCTATCCAATTGCTATTAAAGCTTCTCCAAAAGTCAAAAAAGAAAATTGTGAAAAATTGCCAAAGTTGGACATGGTAAAAACCAAGGGTTCGAAATTTCGGCCATTATTTCACTGACCACAAGAGCAAGCGACACAGTAATATGACTATTGAAAAGAGAAAGAAAAAATGCGTTGGATAGTGCCTAAAGCGTTCTTCTACCTTCATTTCATGTTTTTTATGATAGGTTGAAAAAACGGAAAGAACTTTCGGAACGACCTAATATATGATCTCTTTCTCGGAATTGCTTTTCGACTTTTCGTTCGGCTAAACTATCGATTGCCCCGCATCTAGACTAGATCTTGATTGCAGCACTAATGTAGCCAACTTCATAGTGAAGCTTTCAGCAAAGGATCTCATCAAAAAGCTATTGAAGACAGATGCAGCTGAGAGGATCGAAGAAACCATGCATCATAACGGATAACGCACTACCAACTGACTTTTTGTCGTCGTTTTTCACCTCATTCCTCTCTTCCGTGCTTTGATTGTGTCGTAAACATAGTAAAAAGTATAATGGTGAATTGAATTGTGTGTGAAGAATATGCGTGAGGGTAAAGTGTGTTTTTTTCTGTAAAATTACGCCTTTGAAGAAGCTTCTTTTCATTGCTGAGAAATGTACGTCGACTTTCTTTTCAGGTTCCTGACACTCCTCTCTTCACTAGCCGTTTTTGTGGACCACAAAGCCTTTCAAAGTCAGTTCACCTAGGGATCAGATTTCAACTTTGTCTTTCACAGTTGAAACCTGATCCCTATGTGAACTCCAGAGCTCTCAAATTTGGGAGTTCGGGGGGGGGGGGGGGGAGGGGGAGAGAGGGGGGAGGGGGAGGGGTCCGGCCCAAGGGGAGGGGGGTCGTATCCGACGGTCGTGTGCACCCCCCGCTTTACCCTGCTAATGACCAACGTGCTCTCTGCTGATAGACGCCACCTATTACTAAATGTTTTACACAAACTCCATTTACAACTCCCAACAATACACACAGCCAAGCAATGATCCATTTCAGATTTAGGATTGCTGAACTTTATGATTTCAAAAGTTTTTCAGGCAACATACCAATTGCCACTACATTTCTCATGTTACCCGCTTAAATGACCCGCTTAGCTTAACAATAGCGGAAAATTTTTTTTTACAAAATACCTTTTACCATGATACATAACCTTCATCCTAGACTACGTTTCATTCACATATCTTTTAACCCCACGTATTTTCAGAATATCCTTACAATGATTACCAACACGGATACAAAAACGATTGGAGCCATAGCTAGATGTGTCTCCCAAAAGAAAGTTCTGCTGGCACTCTTATCCATGGAAGCTTGATAGTAGTACACGAGACAATGTAGGGCTGGCGGCTACTTTGTAGCCATGACTAGTTCAAACTTCGCGTCGCGTAGCGTCTGAACGTCATGAAAGCTGGTGCACTACATCCTCATCCGCAATCTTGGCAGAAGCCAGTGGTATGTCATGAGATATATCGTTAATCAGTATATTGGGTTGGTGCAAAAGTTCTTTCCCACCAAATTCAAAAATTCATAACTTGTTGATTTTCCGATGAATTTGCAAGATCTAAATTTTGCTTGAGAGACAAACTCATGCCCTTTGCATCTGTATCTGAATTGTTCGTTAATGTTTACAAATGAAGGAGATAGAAGCTCAAAACCAAAACCACTCAAAATTTGAATTTTTCGTGTAGGGTCATAAAAAATCGGAAACTTGCAACAAAAATCGGAGCAGTCAGTATTGTAGGTTCTTTCACAATCTCTTTCTAACGGTGCAAAGTTTGCGCTGATTAAGCGTCTCCATGAAAAGTTATGATTTTTGAGCATGCAATACAAAAGGGCGAATTTCATTTATTTTGGCATTTTTCAGGAAAATCATAACTTTTCATAGAGACGATCAATCGGCGCAAACTTTGCACTGTTAGAAAGAGCTGGTGAAAGGACCTACAATACCGACTGCTCCGATTATTGTTGCAAGTTTCCGATTTTTTATGAACCTACACGAAAAATTCAAATTTTGAGTGATTTTGGTTTTCAGCTTCTACCTCCTTCATTTGTACACGTTAACGAATAGTTCAAGAACAGTTACAAAGAGCATGAGTTCTTCTCTTATACAAAATTTGGATCTTGCAGATTCCTTAAGAATTCAACAAGTTATGAATTTTTGAATTTGGTGGGAAAGAACTTTTGCATTACCTAATATTAACAACCATATTCATTGTATTTCCATATTCATCTATGTATATTATTCCATTCTCTCATGGAGTTGTAATTGTCCATGCACCTGTTCAGTTGCCGGGTTCACCCCCATAGCTCTTGATAATATACTCGGGAGCCTACTTTTGAGTAGGCGACACTCGTAATGTATTGATAGCATTTCTTGCCAGAAGTTGGCATCCAAGCTTACACGCACTACTTGGCTGTATAAATGAGCCTGAATACCAAGTTCTGGAGTCGTCACTATCTCCGTATCCTTCTCGTTACTATTTCCGGCCGATGCACCAGTTTAGTAATAGATAACTCCAGAACTTTGTATCCAGAATCAGCCAAATTGGACATGTATAGCCTTGAATGCCAAGTTCTGGCAAGAAATGCTATCAATGTAGTAGAAGTTTCGCCTACTTGAAAGTAGGCGCCGCCGAGTGCACTATCAGGGGCCATGAGAGTGACCCCCGGCGGCTAAACAGGTGCACAACCTGCAACTTGTCCATGCCAGAAATTACATTCACATAATCAAAGACACAGCGGGGCGGAAGAAGTGCATGATGCACGAGATATACTGCTACTAGGATGGAAAATGATTGGAATGTGTCAACAATGAAACCAGCGAAAAAAATTTATTGGCCTGATAACGCGTAAAATGCAAACTAGGTATAAA